CGGAAATAATGCCTTCCGGCAGGTAAGTTTCTGCTTAAAGATGGCGACCAACAATAGAAAAAATCGAGGAATTCGTTACTTTCGAACATTCGACAAATACGACACGCGTTACATCGAAACATTAATCGATATGAACTTATTATTATTACACGTAAATATTCTTTATTTTTTACATTATAATATTAATTCCATTCATTATATCAACACTTTTAATGTCATATAGCAATACAGTAAGATCCCGCTTAACGCTGCCTCGATTAACGCTAATTCGGTATAACGCAGTCTGCTCGAAGTCTAAAAACAAGCTCAAAATTTACGCTGATTCAAATTATCGCTGCATTTCATTGATTCGTATATAATACAATTATTCCCGAACACGAACCAATCAGCAATCAGAAACCTTAAATCCACGTTTGTTTGGTGCAATTTTAGAAACAATATATCATCATTAATGCCACAGGCAATATCGACTTCACTCGGCAAGAATTAACTGATAAATGAATGAACGGAGTGTGGAAGAAGTTATGGCTGGAGGTATCCAAGAATTCTCAAAGAAAAGAGACTATCGTTGACTAAATTGTGAACCTAATCGATACGGCAAGACTAGGGGTGCATAAGGTAAGGATGCCGAATATGAGATACCATTTTTATTTTTGACTATAAAAAAATAACTATTACACTTGGAGCTTTACAAATTACAATTTTGAATAGGGAATTTAATATATTTAACAATATAATTGCTATTTAGTCCTAAGCATAATACATTTTTAGTTATATTAGATAAAATGAAAAAAGTCCGAAATCACGTCTTAGGTAAATGGTCTCCTATTATGAGATACTAGGGGTACCCCAGATACTAGACAGTCTTGACCCGTCCAGATTCGATCCCGGGTCCCCCAGAGCGGTAGGCTGTCACCGTGACCTCTTGGCCATCCGGCCTTTTCTGGGATGTCCTTAGGAACACCGAATTGTTTTGATGCCTTTAAGTAACCTATTTGATTGCTGCATCCACGGCTCGTATCATGGCACTGTGGTGCCAGGTTTTCCTTTTACTTGTGGCCATCTAAAATATATAAAAAAAGAACTTAAACTAATACGTATACTTTCACCTCATATATGAAATGAGATATCCCATATTAGGAACCCTCATGTGTCTCATATTGGGAACACATTCAAATTTTACAAAACGTCTGCCTACTTTTTTGCTGACAAAGAAAACAATAGTACTGCACTAATATCGTGAAATTGACCGTATAATTGATACAATGAATGTAAATTAAAAGAATTTAGCGTAATAATAACGTTGTTACATACCTCGTAAACATTTAATGTCAAAAAATTTGTTTTGTGCTTTTGTGAAAATCTGCACACCCACGATCTAACAGCACCTCTGGCCAGCGTGCACTGACACACGTTTGGAGCTATTGCTAGGACGCTTCGGAAAACACTAGAGCCAAACAGTTGCCGTTAATAGTTTGGCCAAAACCTTGGTATCTCATATTTGGCGCCTATCTCATAATAGGCATCTTTACCTTATACTTTTCGTTTTGTATAGATCGATCTGTAAAATCGGATCAATCCTTGTCACGTGATACAGATAGCTTCTGTCATGGCGGAAAGTATACGAGTAGGATCGAAGATGGCGGCAAGCTTAGGAATCATTTTAGAAATAATATCGGAATTAGATTCAGAATCCGAGGAAGAAGAATTAATTTTGGTTAATTATTTAACACAATATAAAAGAAAAAAAAAAGAAATCGGTATGCAAAATAACTATGTTTCAGAGGTTGCATTAGAATATAGGCCAAATGTTTTTAAAGAACACTTTCGAGTAAGTCGACTTACTTTCGAAAATTTACTGAAGGATCTTGTTCCCATTTTATTACAATCAAAAGAAATAGTAATAGGAAAAGGAAGAAATGCACTGTCAGCTTAACTTCGACCATGGAAGCGGCCATCTTTAATCTCTTTTATCCGATCCAAACGATCCTACCCTCCGCTAGGATTAGTTTGATCGAGATCCAGTTGATCCTAGATGGCGTTTGTATACGCAAATAGAGATCGATCGGATCACAGTAGTTCATTTGTATACAAAATTCGTACGATCCAAGTGATCTTGGATCAGTTTGATCCCAAAAGTATATGCACCCTAGGAGATGTAGACGAGCAGGATATTAAGGAATTACTGCAGGTTTCTGGTTAAAGCCTTACCAACGACCTTCAAGAACTGGCAGAACAATAAATTCAAGTAGAACTGGAAAATAGTGATTCTGAAAACGAAGCACCCAAATATTTCCTTAGTAAAAGTTTTGTAACGATAACCGAAATCGTTGATCAAATTGTAGCGAATGATCCAGATTTTGAAAGGAGTGCAAAAGCAAGACAAGGCGTTTTGGATGTGATCTCCTGCTACCGACATTTGCCTAATGTAGTGTTCCGCAACGTTTTTCTACTTGCGGCACACCTATGACTCGACATAACTCGACACGGCACACCAAAATGTTATTCCTCTCAAAAACGTATGATATGATTATATTAATAGAATTTCGTAATGCCATAAACCTATTATTATTATTATGTTGAGTTTTGTGAGTGACACTCGGTTGACACCGATGGCTGTGTACTATCCCGGACCAGAGTCAAGGCATAGTAACCAAAACAAGACAAAAATTAAATAAGTGTATCAGTGTGTGTCTGTATTCGGGAATTTCCTAACAATGTGACATGCATTCAATATAGTGGCCTTCTGTAGTATGATGTATGTGTTTATATTCAATTTTGATGTTCCCAGGCTTTTGTGTAGCGTGATATGACACCTGTACAGGAGAGAACGACAGGTACAGTAAGCACCCTATCCATCCTCCATAGATGCCTTATTCCTGGGCGAGTTCTGTGGTACTTGCTGATTTTTTCAATGCATGTGTTTTGTTCGTTGTAAGTGTTTGGAATGGATATGTCTATAATGTATGTGATTTTATTCTGTTTGTCAATGAGTGTGATGTCTGGTCTTGTAAAGTAGTAACCTTTTAGCACAGCGGGGACAAAGGGGGTACGGCTTTGTTAATTAGACTCACCTGCGGTGAGACGGCAGTACAATTGCCATATTGTAAACGAACGAACGTAAACAAGTGGCGGACGTTTGTGTAAGCGTCACTCTCGTCGGATGACGGCGGACCCGAGTGTAAGCTGTTCGGGCAAAGAAAAGGGATTGTGATTGGTCGGAAGTCCCCGCCCAAAAACCCTTAAATTGCGGGCCGAACGAGAGGAAAGGAGAGAAGGGCAAGAGACTGGTACACGGTAGTCTCAGGCACTTGGGAAGCCCGCTGAGCGTAAAGAGAGAGTGTTCTCCTCTGTTAATCTTCTCAGGGACGGGTTAGTGCTGAGACCGGACCGAATCTGTGCAGTTGAGCCGACTCCGAAAGCTGACTGAGGTCTCTCCCAAGAGTATTAGTTTCCAGACGCCAATCTGGCACGTGAATTCACCACGCATGATCTTCCTATACATATGCTACGTTTATAACTTGTACAACTGTAAATAAACTATATATATATTCAATTTGAGTGTGGAGGTGTACTTTCCGACGAACCTGATTCACTACATCGAGTCGTGACATACAAGAAACCAACTCAACGAGGCGGAGTTGGGAAGGAACATTTTTCCATAAGAGCTTCACTGGTCTGTTGTGGTAAATTGTTTTATCTGTGATTATGGCTCTGTCGTAGTATATTTTGTGCGTGTTGTTTTCCAATACTATCTGTGGAATGTATCGTGGATGTCTAATAATTTGTGTTTCTTTGCAAGCTCTTTGATGTATTTGCTACTTGATTATGTCTATGTAAAATTATCTGTCTATGCCAAGAGCTTTCAACCAGAAGTGATGTGTTTTATGGTTTCTGGCATAATGTGACATTTTCTGCATGTGTCATTTGTGATTGTTGTATCTTTGAGTATGTGTTTTCTGTAGTTTTTAGTATTTATGACCTGATCCTGTAAGGCAATCATGAATCCTTCCGTCTCCCCAAAGAGGCAACCCCGAGCTAACCAGCTATTTGAAGCAGTTTTGTCTACAATATCCTGGGCTAGGTCATAGGGATGTCTGAGTGCCTTTCGCACCCATGGTTGCTTATAAATATAACATATAAATAGCATGTCATGCTATTTATATGTTGTGTCGTGTCCATACATTGTGAATGTAAATTCAATGGTGTATTATTTGAGTCTGCTAGAGTTACTGCTTTATGTAACTGTGTTTCTTGTTTTTGTAGAAAAACTCTCGCAATGTCTGTATTTGTTTGTAGTGGAGGTTAGCTATGTCGATCAGGCCACGTCCGCCATCTTTACGTGGAAGGGTTAATCTTTCTATTGCAGATTTAGGATTATGTTGTTTATGCTTAGCAAGTGTTGTTCTTGTTTTCATTTGGAGTTGCTCAAGATCTGTGTGAATCCAATGTATAACTCCAAAAGAATAAGTGAGTACTAGGACGACATATGTGTTTATTGCTTGTATTTCATTCACTGATGAAATACATCATCTTATTTCATCAGTGAATGAAATACAAGCAATAAACACATATGTCGTCCCAGTACTCACTACAACAACTGTGATAAAAAATAAATATAACTTAAAATTAATAGAATATGTAAAAGTTCAAGTCACACCTTTCACCTTGTGACAACACACCCGGTTGCAGAACACTGGCTTGAGGAAAGAAAAAACAGCTACAAATGAAACTACACGACTTTATCGCAAAAACAAGAATTTCAGAAGAGCCAGGACATCATCACAAAAAATGAACTTTACATTTCTGTGTGCATATGTTTGTGTGTTATTTAACATATATTATTATGCAAATTAATAATCCACAGGAAAAGCTTTTGTTGGATACTTAATGATATTCTTATAAGGTTTCGGTATGACGAGAGCGAACGTTATTGATGAAGAAACGAACTTAACACAACTAATAAATAAGTGATTTAATATTTTAATCTTACGGGCTAGAACAGACAGCGATATGGACGTTCAAACATGGCGATCTGCGGCGACAACGGCGCCGCCACTAAACAAAACAAAATGAGACCTTACATTCTTTTGGTGGTAGTTCAAGGTTTAACTACTGGCGGTGCACCAGTAGTTATTGTTTTTTTCAAATCAGATAATCGCTATGAAGGCGTAACTTAATTTACAAATGACAAAATTAAAATCGCACGTGTGCATAATCTGAATCGCAATAGACAAAATTCAGGTCTAGAATATAATTGCGTTAAGTCCACCAGAAAACTGGATGTTAACTTTTTAATATCTAATTATCTTCAGCGGAAATAAGCAGGATTATCCCTCTATATAGCATCCAAAAGGATTTTTAAGTCAGTAGTGTAGGGTGATTTTTAATTCAAGTAAAACTTTAATATCTTTTCAACTATAACAGATAAAAAGAAAATTCAAAAAGCATATTATACAGAAATTATTGCCATTTAATGAATTGGGTTTTCAAAATGACTAAATTCGACTATCCTATGGAAACAAATTTTTCATAACAATCAAAAATATTTTCGCCTGTTTGTAAGTCTCTAATTGCTCAGCATTAAAGAAATTCTTCTGTTATTTCTCCTTTTCTTAGGCTATAATAGCGAACATAAATCATCAGTATGCTCATTCTTCTAAAAATTGCCTGTTCTAACTGAATGACGAATTTCTTTATTTGAATCTATATATATAATCGAGACGGGTTGACTATAATAAGTGCAGAGCCCAAACGGTTAGGAGTTGAAAGTTGAAATTTGGTACACAGTTAGGGTACGTTACGAGAACGCACACTAAGAAGGGATTTTTCGAAATTCCTCCCCACGGGGAGAGGGACAGGATTAAGGCTTAACACTTCCATCAACAATGGAAGTGTTACGTAACAATGGAATTGTTAAGAGAAAGCGACTTGCAAGACGCAGATGCAGTTTTTTTCGTTTTTACGGGAAATCGAACATATTTTTAGACCCATCTAAAAATTCTCTAATCAATCCGGAAACAGGAGGACCTAGTTCTTGCATTCTGTGAAAACGGGTAAGGTTGACTATAACGTAATAATCTTAATCTTCACTATCGTTACTTTTGCCCGAGCAACTCCGGGCCTACCTGCTAGTATCAAATAATAAAGACTTTTTAAATGTTAATTATTATTGCCTTACTGTCCTTTAGTTTCTTAATATATATTTTTTGTCAACTTGGACATTAATTATTAATAGGACAATTATACTGGTTTTTAAGTTTTTATGCCAGAATCGAGGGAAAAGTTCTTAAAGAAAACAGACTTTCTTTATTGAGCTACCTGTACACATATATTTGTTCATATCTGTGTTTCGGACTATTATGCCCCTCATCAGCAGGATTACAATTATGATAATGTTGAACTATAAAATAACAAAGATAATAAAAATAAAAAATAAGGTTAAAATATTACAATATATCTATAAAACTTCCAATATACAAGCTTCTGATACCCGACAATAATTGGTTTTTGGGTTGAAGACTATAATAGGAATATGAAACATTTCAATCATATTTATCCGATATGACGACTAAAGCGAAGTTGAAAAAAAACCACAATACTACAATTAGGAAAATACAGTAGTGCAATGTACTGCACCTCTCTGATCCATCACTGGCACTAAAGTTGGTTTCTACTTAAAGTACCCCAGCAATTTCCATTGCCTTTTGTTTCAGTATCGGTCCCGAAACAGGAAGATTCGACGAACGAATTTACTTTAGCCAACGTACCAGAGCATCTTCGACATCTTTGTACAGCGACTTTCTCTGGCGTTTGAGACAGCCGCGACAAAAATCCAAAAAAAGTTTCTTAATTTCCTCTTTTTTCTTCAGGATTCCCACCAATGTTGTTTTTGGAAGGTTTTGCAAATATAGCTTGCGAAGTTTTCTTACATTCAAATTCAGGTACAAGTTCGTATTTTTCCTTCAGCCTAAGCGTTGTCAGCTTTTGGACACTCATTTCTAACAGAAATGTGAAACACGTGCTACAAATAACGCATGACGTGAGAAAATGCAAAATCGGATTAGATGCTGTGACATTGATATAGATTATATATTTTCTTTTTGTTTATCTGTTATTATTTTATATATAAAAATACACGAAATGTTATTCATTAATAAGGCATTTTTGTTAATATGTATATAAGTCGGCCGGGACTACAGAAAATTGACTACTTAAACTATCTATACTTAACCGACGGTGTCAGTTATACCTATGACGACTTATGCGGACTCGACTGTATATACTTACAAGTATTCGCACAAATTAATATATTTTTATAAACTGTATCTACACAAAATAAATATAAAACCACACCAGAACCCTGTTCACAGAAACAAGAGATTGCACGTGATGACTACGTAGTTTTCACGTAGGCATAAAAGGCCGTATTACATTGTAAAACTTGCCAGCTACATAAAAACACTCAACGATTCAATAATTAAAACAAATTTATTTAATTAAGAAAAATTTATTTTAAAATAAAATAAAATAAAGAATTAATATAACGTAGATTTTATTTAATCGACCCCGTTGGGAACTCCTGGTTTAAAGCCTGGATCTATATTATACGAAAATACAAGTGAAACACGAAACTAAAAATAATGCAACTTCCAACTGCACAGTTTCAAATTGGGCAATTCGATTAAAAAATATTTTCTATTTCTGTTTAGGTTTTCAATTACAATTTAACCAAAAACAGTTTTGTGGCATCAGAAAACGTCTTGTTTTTTGGTTAAATGGAAGTCCTCACATTGGGGTCATTCTCAATATTTCGTAGATGAAAACATAATTCTGAATTAAAATATAGTAGTATAAATTTACGATGAAAAAGTTAAATCTCTTTGCAATAAGCACTTGAGACTGAAAAACTGTCCGTTATAAAGGTGTACAGTACATCCGAGATTTTATAAAAATTTCCTTTAAATAAGCTTGTAACAAACAACATAATACACATTTATTTACGAACATGTATATACACTGTGCAAAATAGTCCTACATTTATGAGAGTCCCTTCCGGACGTCAAAGTCTATGGGCCATTTAATGGTTTACGGTAATGGCATTCATGAAACTGTTGTCTACATATCATTCGCAACAGTTGCTGCAATATTGTAAGCACTCTCATTTATGGAAGGAATTAGAATGCTTACAATATAAGAAATCCTACTATGAAGAAACAATTCTAAATTATTGATGGTGGAGTCTGTTTCCAAGTGCTTGAAATCCACGAAACTGCTTGGAAAGACATTAAATTTCTTTGTAGACGTTTCGAGCTATGCTCCACGGTCTAAATTTGCGATTGTGCGCTCCATAATTGAAATTTTGAATTGTTTTTTGATCCAGAAGTATAGAATGTGAAGTGACATTCGATGGAAGAATATACAGTAGAGCGTCGATTTTCCGAATCAATTGGAGACTGGGGTTGTCCGGATAACTGATTTACGTACGAAAAAATAGTTTAACGTATCCGATGTCGAAATTTTTCTCCGTTGCGTGTCGCTTCGCGTTGAATTTTCGTCGATGTTAAGCCTAACAAAGACTATTGTATCGTTAAAAATTATTTTTTTATTTTGTACAAACAAAATAAATATATTGAAAAATATAAAAACAATAAAAAATTATACTTCAGATGTTAATTTAGTATCAAAAACGTAAAATATTTGAGTAGCCCAAGACATAGCCAAAGATTGAAGCGCCACAGCACTGGCGAAAATTAAAATTTGCCAACTGGAATTCTTTCGGATGATTGACTTTCGGAAAATCGACGCTCTACTGTATTCTCAATATTTTTGAGTTGGATGTCTAGATGTAATGCAGCATTGTCAAGAAGCAAAAGTTCTTTCTTGTTTGACTATTCTACTCAGGCCTTACTGTTTGATTTCCAATTTCAAAATTTTTAATTCTTGAAACACCTCGGCTTGGCATCCTTTCCATTTGGCTAGGGGTTTCTTGCATTCTCCACTGACACTTACTCATAACAGAACTGTTTCTCGTTCTTTTGTTGCTTTGCTAAAGAACATGATTCATCTCCGAATCAATGTTTTATCCGGGAGTGCGAAAGAACAGTTCAGTTTAGTTTGCGTTCAAAATATTTTCGGAAAATAATCAGTGATAATGGAAGAAAACTTAGCCTAACACTGTTTTACTGTATTATGATCTCTAGACACCCATTCCAAATCTTAAATTTGCTATGTCGCTTTCGAATTTTCAAGCAATCCGTTTGAGACCTTGAAATCGGCATCTAATTCATATGCAAATTACAAAGCTATGGCTTGTATTATCAGTCCTGATACAGGAACACCCTACTTCTGATGTTTGTAAAGCATGTCGGATTTACTGCTGTTATTACAGTGCCAATGGTTGAGTAATTATTCTTGTTTCTTGACGATTTCTGCAGCTTGCATTTCCCCAATCTAACACTTCTGCTAATCTTCTCATTCTGCAATGTTCTTGTTTGAGATATTACAGATTAAGAATAGACAAGGGTATAGACAAACAATCGTGAAACTCTTATATAGCACTTTCTATTATAATAGAATTTTTCTAAATAGCCAATCAATAGACATAGTTCCATTTATGAATCGAACATATCGTAAGCACGAAGAGGCATCTCCATCTATTGTACTTTGAATTGGTCACCGAACAGTCTATTTGGCCATAAATCCAGAATAGGACCATTTGTTTCTGCTAATTATGATCGTAAGATGCACGTGCTGCCTATGAAATGATGCGAATGGACATAATAAGTGAACTGTCACAAGGCCGCGCTAGGCAGCATAGAAATTATACTGTCATAATAAAATTTTGAAGTCAAATCAATTTTAAAAACTCAACATGGAATAGTATTGAATTTTTGGAATCGATTTAACTGCAACTCCAAGAAAGTCGACTCGATGAGAATCTATTGTCATGTATCGTGTCCGATTAAGACACGGCAGTAACATATTTTAATACCAAACCATGAAAATTTTCCGTATGGAGGGGTGTCAAGACAGATTTCACTATATATATACATACATACACACACACATTTGAGAGATTTTAGCAATTATAGTTGTGTCAAAAATAAAAACCTGATAATTTGCAAGTAATTTGGAATCCAAATGTAAGAGCTATGTTCTGTATTATTGAAAATATAACTAAAACGGAAACTAAACATGGCACAGCTTCTAATTCTTGTTTTTATCCATAGTTCGGCAGAAACACGACTGAAAACGAAGTTGAATACAATGTATCCTCTCACTGATCTCAACTAATTACTGCACGGATTGTTCGAAATAACAGGTTATGTCTAAAGGCTAGTGAGAGTACACAGCATTTTAAATTTTGCTTCTATTCAGCTTTTATAAGCAATAATTTAATAAACACTTTAGTGTAGTAGCGAAATAAAAGTCACCTAGTTGATTTCATTCTAAACATTTAAGAAAAACGACCAGAGAATGGAAAATTAAAAAGTTATTTACAATCAAGAGAACCAAAGTGACTAAAATAGCTTCCATCTTATAGTCAGTTATGGTAATGGTAACCAAGTACTGCAAAAATTATCTCATTTTTAGGTAATGTGAAGTGTAGTTGAAACAACCATTTAATTTTTAAATTTCTATTTTCAAGTGTTGTGGGAGTTCACCTTAATTTAAATAATTTATTTACTTGAATCTTTACATAAATTCTGAAGTAAATGAATTTGAAAAGATTAATAATTATCAATTGGTGATTTTTATGAAACAGTTACAGACTAAAGAACAATTAACAGATCTTACCTGTTAATTCAATGTTCTTTATTTTTATAATTTTGCTTTTAAAAACTTATCAAAAAATAAAAAAATAAATATTAATATAAATCTAATTAAATGAATTTACTTTAAACGTTTAAAAATCAACTAATTTTCATTATGCTGACAAGTGAATTATTTCTGTAATTCTTGTATTTATCACAGAACAATTAGTTAAAAATACAGATTGATGTAATGCTCAGCAATGAAGGTTATTTAAATGATGTGAAATCAAACTAAGTGATAAAAGGAAAACTTAAGAATGTACAGATCAATTAACAAGATTCCAGGTGGAATTTATCCAACATTCTTCTCCTTAATTGAAATGTCAAACATTTAAACTTTATTTGTTGTTTTATTTAAATTGCTAGACTAATCGCAGGATGAGGCATTTCAATACATTTAAAATAGGATTAAATTTTCTCTGATTTAAACAAAAATTCCAAGTGATGTTTATTCTTCAGTACTGCATATAAAAATAGATATTTTTTCCTTTTAAAATTCTTAAAATATGCTTCATTTAGTAACTTAGATTATTTTAATGTTTACCAATGAATCTGAAATCCATATTAAATGAAATTTTTTAAAAATACATTTATGTAATTCATCTATTTTAGTCTGAAAACTTAAGTATTTTTGTGTGTTTGTGATTTGAAGAAAAATATTAAAAATAGAACACACTGGATAAAGTGAAGCATGATTGCTTTTATTTGTACAAGTAGATCAAGGTATATATCCAGAAGGCAAATATTGGTCAATCCAAAAAAGAAAATAATATACACTGGATCAAACCATTCGATAAATTCTAGATACCAATCATGAATAATATAAACAAGAACAAATTGAGCATTATTTAATCAGCCAATTACCCTTGCTAATAATACAAGATATATTTAAGAATCAAAATGTGACAGTCCAATAGGTATGGTAATTGTATAAGAGAAATAAAAGGAAAAGATATACGTGAAATGTAACTAAATACAAAAGTAGCTTTCAAGTGCTTTTATTGTTAATTTTTTTTGGATTTGCTTCGACAGGCTATGCTTTTCTGCAGAAACTTTGCTATTCTGTCCAGTTAAAATTCTGTGAAAAACATACATCTTTTAAGAAGCAAAGAGAGACAAATACCAGATGCACTTTTTTTTAGAACAGGATCTGCCATGACAGATGGTATCAATTTTCATATATGCAGTGATGACAAAATTTTGTATAATAAGAATTTATTGTTGACCATACAGAAACTGGGAAACCTAAAGCATTATGATACACGTTGGTTGCTGCTTAGCAACAATTGTTTCCCAAGAATAAATTTTGAAACTACAATTTGTCAACACTGTAGAGACCATACCCAAATAAATGAACAGATGAAGATCAACAGATTTTTTTTCCTCTTTTGCATAATTGAATCCTGTGTAGTTGACCTGCTGATAATCACTAATGGATGTATAATAAACCAATTTGATGATGATGAATTAATTAAATTTATTGTTGTGATTGAAGAAGTCTCTCCACTGCAGCATTTACATCTCCAAAAGTAGCAATTAAAGCTAAAAAATAAATAAAATTTTACAAATATATTGTAAGAAACTTTCTAAATTCTTTATTTAACAAACAGAATCAGTCATATAGCTAATGATTATATAGTATGAAGTGCTCTCATCAAAAAACTGCATAATATGAGTATTAAAAATGCTTTCTTCACGAAGCCAAATCTTTAAATATTATGAAACATTTTTGTCTTGATCCAGGACAACATCAGCTTATACTTCATATAAAACAAATATAATCATCATTGTTCTTTAGAATTAACTTACATTTAAATGGTTTAATTTTTAAGGATTTCAGTAAATTGACAAATGACTTTCTGAAGTAAGCATTTTTAATACTTATAATTATGGGGCAAATTTGCAAACAAATATATTTCCTCCAAATCACATTTCATTTAACAAAAAAATTAAATTTTTAATGTTTTTATAATAATCTGAAAAGAATAAATTAGAAAAAATTATTTAGACATAAAATATACAGTAAGACTTCTCTAACTAATACATTTCTTTAACTGAAGAAAATAAAGCACTTGGTAGGTCTCAGTGGAATAATATAGGGATTTAATGAATTTTCTCAAAGTCAAAGGTTTTCATGGTTCCCTGACACTGATTTGTTACTTTCAACTTCCCTGACTTGAATTTTAATATGTATTCTATCCAAAGTGTTCCTAATTATTGAATTTCCATGAAATGTTCAAACAGTTAGTTGTATCTACTGTCCAACACCCATTTGCAGACAATGTTCAAGTCTCTACTTTATCTCAACAAGAGGTACCTGCAAATCTGTTCAATTCCATTAGCTACATTGAATATTTTGATGAAAGGTGTTACATGGGTTGTTTAAAACAAACAACTATCAAAGATTCTTTATGTAATGCAAGAGAGGTAAAAATACAAATCTATTCAGAATTGGTATTTTTCACTCTATTGTTTCTCTAAATCGAATCGTCTGTAACTGAAGTCTTTTCCTGTCACTCGGAGCTTCTAGTTAGAGAACTTTTACTGTACATACATTATTATTATATTAATAATTTTTGTTTCCCCAAACAGAATTTATATCTTTTACACTGAACTATTAAAACTGATATAAAATATGCCTTTATCATCTTTATGAAAAAAATGCATATTTTAATTTAATTTAAAAATATAGTCTCATAATATGCTTTACTAGAATATATATGATATTTTATAATTAAATGCAAATGTAATTTACAATGCATATTACACAAAAATATGCAAATTTATTGTAAATCAATACACATCAATGAAATTTTATTTATTTAAAAATATATAAAGATATAAATACTATAATAATATAAAATTATTATGGACNGTATATATTAAATTTCTAGCAATTATAATCTTATCGCGATGATTAAGTGAACTTTTTAAAAGATTAATCGTATACTTTTGAACATCAACTAGATACTTTTTCACAAGTTATATTAATCGACTTCTGTCAGTCTCACATCTTTCAATTTGAAATTCTAAAAATGGATCTCTCTGTATAAAGGAAGGGAGTAGATCTTCTTTGGAGACTGAATTCACATAATCTCAGTTTCCAATGATCGTAAATTCATGTATAACTTACATGTAAGTCTAATGTTAAAGTTAATTTGACGAGTAAGATGATTAAATATCAGAAAACTTTTTTTTTTTAAATTAATCAATCATATGAGTAAAGCTTTGTATTATTTTAAATGAAAGTGTTTTCTTTTTAAGACAGGCAGATGTGCTTAAACTCAACCAATTGCATATGATATTATATGAAGTAGCAAGGCCTCATACAATGCCATAGAACAAAATATCTTTCTTCTTCAAAATGTTGGATTTTTCTGGTAACATATAATGTCCATTTTAACTGTGTCACTTCATTCTGCTTTAAGAAATTTACTCTTTTCTTAAGACTTCATGTGAGTTAGTGAGTCAAATATTAAATATCTAGAGCCATTAAACATTAAATTTTTTTTATTGTTGTGATAAGTAAATTGGCTAATCAAGAAATATTTCAAATGCAGACACAAATTTATATTACTATAGTTCATACAGCAAGAGCAGACATGAGTCAGCCTGAGCTGGAAAGGTCTATGTCAGATGAAAGGGTTGGAAGGAAATATATATGAGTTGATACATGGATCACAGTAATAAAATTATTTATGATCAAGCTAGTATAAAAACATTTAAAGATGTACAAAACAAAACAGATAAAAGAGATCAGATCCATGTGTCAACTTTCATGTGTCTCTTCTGTCCCAGTCACTTGATATAGACCCTTCTGGCTCATACTGACTCATGTCTACTCTTTCACTGCATGGACAATAGTAATCCAGGGATAAAAAAACTGAATACTCAAATGTATCTAATAAATGTAATTTATCATAATATTGACATCAAATGTGTAAACAGTTTTATTACTAGTGGTTCAATGAAAATAGATCTAGTTATTAAATCTGTTGCTAATGAATAGATCTAGTTATTAAATCTGTTGCTAATAATATCTACAAAATATAAGATAAGAAATAATTAATTACTTAATAAATTGTATTAAATTTTGTTTATGTATTTTCTAGAAAATGTATTAAAAATAGAATTTTCTCCTTAGATCATCTAAAAACATAGTTTTCTATTTATTTTGTAATTTTCTTTTTATTTATTACTATTTGTACTTTTCATCATTGGAAATGCATCTTCTTATCAACAGAATCCTAAAATACTGAAATCGATGCAACAGATATAACTCAATTATATTAAAATGTTTTGTGTTTTCATTATCTCATTTGTTGTATAATTTGCTTTATACAAGTTAAACACAACTACTATTGTTTTATTCATATATTAAATAATTTATAATTAGAGCTAACATATCAGATGCAGATGAAATGTTAAGAATTAATGGTTTTCTCATACAATTCAATTTTTTAAAATGTGTTTAAATGTATAAAATATTTGAATTAATTCTGTTGATTAATTAATTAACAAAACTTTGTTTTTTAACGGTTTCTTTTACTTTATACTTATTTCTACTTTTTATTTCTAGCTTACTTAATAATATGAGGGCAGTTTTTTTTCAAGCTCCAATGGTCCATAAAACAAACACAAGTGTAAATAACAAAATGAATTTATTACCAAAAGTTAGGTACAAACATGGTTACTTTTCGACACAGTCACTGAAGATTGAGGCATTTGTCATATCTGTGGATGAGCTTTTCCATCCCCTTGTCATAGAATGTTGCTGCCAGTGAATTGAGATGACCTTAACAAAGTTTTGAAGATCATCATTAGTCTCAAACCTCTGCCCTGCTAGCCATGTTTTCAGTTCAAGAAAGAGGTGGAAATCTTCACCACCTTTAAACACCCAGCATATAACCCAATTTAGTGCTGAGCAACTTATTTCTCTTTCCTGAACGGAAAACGTGGCTAGCAGGGCAGAGGTTCAAGACTAATGACGATCTTCAAAACAACGTTAGGGCCCATATCAAGTCATTGGCAGCGCAGCAACATTCTATGACAAGGAGATGGAAACGCTCATCCACAGATATGAGAAATGCCTCAATCTTCATGGTGATTATGTCGAAAAGTAACTAAGTTTGTACTTAACTTTTGGTAATAAATTAATTTTGTTATTTACACATGTCTTTTTTTTATGGACCATCGGAGCTTAAAAAAATAAAAAAAAACAGCCTACATAATAAAACACTGAGAAAATTAATATTAACAAACCTTGTAAATTGGCTTCTCTGTTCATAAAACCCATTGCTGTTAATTGTTCAAGTTGACTGCGATATCGTTCTTCAGGTGGTACCTGTGTCTAAAGTAAAAATCATTCATAAAAATTCAATAGTAACAAAAACTACAAAATTAAAAATAAAATAAACATACATTATTTCCTCCTCTTGCCATTGCTGTTACCATTCGTGCCATAAATTGACTTAAAGAATCTTGTCCTAAAGAATCTGGTAGCGGACGTGTATCTGAATTTGTAGTTGTAGTACTGGTATTAATATTAGTGGAAGTTGTAGTATTACTAGTAGTATTAGAAGTTACTCCAAAAGGTGGTACAGTGGTTTGTTGTTGATTACCAGGTAAATTCCTGTAATCAAAAATTTCATATTTAAAACAAATCATATATCATTTATCCACAAGATAAAAAATTTAACAATTATTTTGAAAGAAACTATTTTTTTTCTGTAAAATTAGTGTTCATCCAAATAGACCCTGACTTTCATAATCTAACTGCTTCCCAGAAAACCATATTTAATAAGTCAAAAATGTATAGTAGAGCATCGATTATCTGAAACAATTCGGGACGGGGTTGTTTGGATAACTGATCATTTACAAAAAAATATATTAAACACGAAACTGTACTGTATATATTTTGTATCATATATCTTACAAATACATACCTTACATAATGTAGTACATTAAACTAGGCCTACAGTTTAGGTTGGCAGGGAGGGGGAGAGTGCTGCAGTGCCGCAGCACTAGCAGGAATTTGATTTAGCAGACTGGAACGCTTTCGGTTAACTGATGTTTCAGTTGATCGTTATTCATATAATCAATGCTCTACTGTAGTTTGAATTGTACAATACCATACTCAGATAAATCAATAAAAAAATATAGTACTTAACTATTTCATATTTAACAATAGAAAATTTACATCAGTCAAAGTGAGTATTGTATTTATACATAACTAGTAATATAACCACAATATTGTAGCAGTTATCTGGCTACAAAATTCAATATACTAAATTTAAAAAATACAATAAAATACAACATCACCAAACGATTGGTGATGTTGTTATATACTCGGGCTGTGAGTTGATGTTTATATATATGTTACCGCTAAAGCTCGAAATCCGTTAATGTCTACATTACCTAGCTAATCTGCAGATTAACTAGGGTGATCCGTTAAAGCTGTGAAAATTGTTCAATTTCTCAAATTACCTAGGTAATTTGCAGAGCATCTAGGTAATCTGCACATTAACGGCTTCCGTATCGTTAAAGTTCAAAAGTTTGTTTCTTTCACTTCCTTTCCCCACTCCTTTTTTTTACGTAGATAAATTTAAATCCTAGAATGCAAGCAAGCACCGAATTGGTGAGTAAAATCAAGAAAAGATTCTTCGCAAACCTCTTTAGCGAAGATTTAAAATATAATACGTAGTGTTTTAATAACAAACCAAAGTATGATTCCATAATTGAAGATGTAAAGCAAATAAAAGTTTCCAAGAAGAAAGAATCATCTCGAGATTATCAAATAATTCAAAGGTGTGATGTGTTGACTGTACGAGGCTGTGAAAAACTCATTGAGCCGTTGTCAGATGCGTGAGAAAAGTTTGAAAAACTTTGTCCATGCTGGAGAATTGTTTGACGTCAGTTTTCGATAAAAACTGAAGTAGACCTTGAAAAATTAGAAGATTCACAAGAGACTGTGATTATGAGATCACAGTCAAATCTTACTCAAGAGGACATTCTGTTATCCCCTGCTTCTACAGAATCACCTATAGAAATACAAGAATTTACCGATAGTAATCTTAAACTGCCTTCTATACCGTTGATTGATGATGCAGTCACGAAGAATATTCAGTTACCCTGCACCTCCAAGGAATCGCCTCTGCAAGTTGAAGAAGTCATCACTGAGTTACTCTCAACTTCAGCAGAATTGCCATCACAGTTTCGTACGGAGCCTGTAAAGAGCAGTATACAAGACATAGTCTGTATTGTTTGCTCAAAAGCAGCATCAAGTGCTCACAAGTGTAAATCGTGTAATATGTTTGTTCACGCAGTTTGTGGTGAAGTAGATCCTAAAGAGGAAGGGTATGGTAAGAATGTATTGTGCATCATCTGTAAAAAGAATATGGATCAGAAAATACAGCGTGATGAAGCCAAGAAATGTTTAGAAAAGCAAGCAAAGAAAATGTTAGCAGTTTCTAATGCAAAGCACCCAAACGTCGATGAAGGTTTCGCTGTGAGAATTAAAGTACCCGAAGAAGACAGAGCAAAAACTGATGCACGTTCAATTTTAGCTGTGGTTCTTAGAAAAACAGAGGATGGCTTTTATAAACTTGATACTAAAATAGCTATTTTATAACAATTGTATGCAAAATCTGAATTCAGTGTTTGCAAAGAGAGATTTTTAACGAAAGAAGATGGATGTCCCTGCTGTAGAAATCGTCAAACAGCAATAAAACAATCCCTTGGTACTGGGCAGGGTTTCAGAAAATGTGACTGCAAATCTAAATGTACCACAAATAGGCGTGCTTGTCGCAAAAACCAATTGCTACGTAATTCAAAGTGTCACCAATCTTTAGATTGCACTAATAAGTAAGTACAATTTTATCATATGTTTTGCAAATTCATTTCCCTAATTGTAGTAATATTTTAAACCGTTTGGTTTTTGTATAAAAGTTTTTCTAATTGATTGATGATTGATTCAACTAATTTGTTGATTGTATTAACTTGATTCTTTAGATATTGAAAATTAAATAAATAACATTATGTTAATTTAAGCGTATAGAAACGTTGCTGTTGTTCCAGCAAAAATCTTATTTTCACTTTACCGAGTGCCTAGTAGGTAATTTGCAGATTACCTAGATAATCTGAACATTACCTAGGTAATTTGAGAAATGGAATAATTTTCGCAGCTTTAACGGATCACCCTAGTTAATCTGCAGATTACCTAGGTAATTTGAGAAATGGAATAATTTTCGCAGCTTTAACGGATCACCCTAGTTAATCTGCGCATTACCTAGATTAGCTAGGTAATGCGCACATTAACGGATTTCGAGCTTTAGCGGTAACATATACAATAAAATACATTTTAAAATTTCATTAGATTCTTCAAATTAATGTGTATATTCAATGAAACTATATTCCTCATATAACGTGGTAGTTACATTCTGAAAAAGTGCAGTGTTATATGAATCTGTGCTATATAAAACAAAGAACTAATGCAAAACATGGGGTTACATTCCAGAAGTTAGCAAAAGTATACTATTCTTTTACGTTACTAAGATAAATATTTTTATTAACGCAATCAATAATTAACTAACAATCACAATTAAAAATACTGTAGTATGCATTATTATTAGTTAAGTGGGGATGTTTTCTTTTTACAAAGTATCATCATCATCATCTGAGCTTTTTTGTTGATCCTGGTCAGAAATATATATCAACAGCAACATCTTCCATTTTTCTTGTTTTTATCATAGAAGTTTTTTTATAGATGACAAAATAAAAATATGTTAGTAATCAAGAATTTGTTTTAGGGTTTGTTCAGTCAAGTAGCAAGCAATTTTTCTCCAGAATGTGTGTTTGAATACTGAATTGTTCAAGTACTAAGATACCACTGTATTTCATTGCTCGTTTTCATAAATGATTACTTACCTACAGTTTAAATAAGTTTTTAAGCATTTTTAGATAAGTGTTGTTTAAATAAGTTTAATAACACTTATCTAAAAATGCTTAAAAATTTTTTTACTAAATATGAAGATTAATCTATAAAACCAAAACATGGCAACAGTCTTAAATGCTAATGCCTGAAAGCAAAGTCAACAATACATGGCTGATAGGAAAGGTAGTATAAGGAAAAAAATTGTACTATCAAGTTGTCATTTAAAGTAAACCTAACAAAACAAATTGAAAATTTCAATATTGTAAAATCTATGGGCAAATTTGATATGACACACATGTTCACTTGAATAATAATAATAATAAAAAAATAGAATAATGGAGTTTGCACTTAAAAAATTGTGAAATTTTGTACACATGATTTCCCAAATGTGTTAGAGTAAAACCAGAAATCATGTGGTATGATGGATATCCCCAATTTTCAAACCATGTTTTAGAGTGAAACCATGTTGGTAGTAATGTTGTGTTGTACAAGGAATACCTATACTAGGATAAAATATTAGGACAGAAGTGATCCAGATGCATAAAAATATTATTGAAAAACTTAATAAATTTTCTGTAAAAATGTTTTTACAGAAAAATCTTCTGTCAATTTTTTGTAAGTTCATCAATGTAAACTATTAAATGAAAGCTGAAAAACAGAAATTAGGAAAAATTAACTTTTATTTATCAAAAATTTAATATAAATAATTTTTTAAGATTTATAATCCTGTTTTTAATATAATATTTTTCAATAACAACAAATATTTACATCAGAAGAAGGTAGTTCATCAATCAGAAGCTTTCAATGAATCAGACATAATAATCCAAAACTGAAAATTGGTATTTCCATTTAATTACAAATATCAATCTTTTAAACTGTTATGTCAACTGTTATAAACTGAAACAGTAATCTGTTCTATTTCAGTTTATGCTACTTCAATAGTTTTCAACATTACTAAATACGTAATAATTATTGCATAACTAATAATAAGCACTTTTTCTAAATTTAAATTGATTTGATTCAATGTTTTGATGAAACTACAGATAATTTTGCAATGGAGACTAGTCAATATGAATGAAAATGGGAAATAATATTACAGCATGAAATGATTTGAATATCCCATGATGATAATTATTTAAATTTAAAATATCACTTAAGTTTTATTAAACAAAATAAAAAAGTAAGGCATATTAAAACAAAATTATTTTTGTTAAATGAATAAATTTTACAATTTATAGTAATAACCAAAGGATAAAACCAGACTTACTATCAGGTTCTAGGTTGGCATATGCAGATATTACATAAAATATTAGCCAAGGTTCTAGTTCAATGGTAAATCTAGTTTTATCATTTAATTGTTACTATAATTTATGTTTAGTTTTATATATAATTACTTATTACAATTTATCATGAAAGTCTAGATGTGAGTTACATTAAAGTTACAGTGCTCACATATACATTGTGCATGTTAATAATCATCACTGTTGCTTTCACACAGTTTTGTATTGGTTAAATATGCATCATATAAATTAAATTTTATAATTTATACTACTGCACTAAAAAATTATGAGCCATATTTAAAATAAATTATAATTTAATATACAATAAAAAATACCTCTGTATAAGCTGAGACTAATTTAATTTTAACAACACCTTAAATCCTTTTTTCAGCAATACTTTAATTTATTTAAACATGTTTTCAACCTCTTTT